TTTTCTTGAAGGCCCCTTAGTCGAATTGGTTGGTCAATACATTCGGATCATTCACATTTCATTCAACAAATACTATTAAGATTATTTCAAAGCGACTGGTTGTCCCGACTCAATGACAAATCTGTTGTCCAATAAAAGCAATTAAATTAATGAGATTTTTTTGAGATGAAGATTTTCTTTCTTTAGTTACATTTAAGGATCGTGTAAAGGAACGATGCAGACGCTGACTTTCAATAATAAAGAAGGCTTTGACGAGGATATTAAGCTCTGAACAATTTATTCCTAACAAGCTGCATTTCTCATTTAGTCAATTAGCTGGTACTTACGAGTTATTCACCAGTTTCTTGGTTAGACATTCAATATGATTTACAATCGTAGCTTTGGATCTTAAGTAAACTAAAACGTTATAATGATTCTAGAAGTCTCTCTGATAGCTTAAACGTTTAGTCAGCTATGTTTAAGTTATTGTAAACTCCATCGTAGTTTTCAAGTTTCTTGTTAAAACTCAGGGAAAAAAAAGTAATTCAAAACCAATAATATACCACTGATTGAAATTACTTTTAATAGTTTTTATTGTACCTTGTATTACAAATGTGTTTCATAAAAAAATCATATATCATTTGACGCGAAAAATATCCATTTTAGTAGTAATGGATTAAAGCAAAATGAAGCTTTAAAAAAAAGTCAAAAGTCCAATATATAGTAATACAATCACACACATCAATATTTAGAAAACTTTTATTATTATTTTTTAGGATTTTAAATAAAATATTTCCACTGATACAATAACAAGAACCAGTAGAATTAACTTTAAACGGAGCGTATAATGTGTCAATGATAGAAGCTTTAATTCAACAAATTGGCACTCCAAATAAATCAGAGGTCCATGAATATTCATTAAGTGACAGGCAACTTTTGTTCCTTTTTTCGTCACTCCTTTGCATGATAGACATAAATTGTAGGGTTGGAGCGAATTGCCCCGCTAGTAACGTATTCAGTATTACTCGCATGTGTCAGCTCGGTTTAATAAAACTTTTAAAGGAACACTCATTTTTAATCATTGATACGGAATTAATTGCATTATTAATTAATAAATTGAGGTAAAAATGGTACGAACCTTAACAAGAACGCGTCAGGCACAGACTGATAATATTATCAATGAAATAGATGAAAAAATTTTAACCTGAAAACACCACTGCACTGTCTCGACATCAGTTAAAATGCATTTATTTATTTAATGGGTTACGGATTCTGATCTAAACCATTTCCCGAAAATAAGTTATTGGATTTAAAAACTAATTGTTCATGTCAAACATATATTATATTCGTAAAAAAACATCACTTAAATAGAATCAGAAAGAAGACAAAAACCTACAATAGTTTCACTGAAAACGAATAATTATATACAAACATGAGAGCAGTGTTGGCCTAGTAGCTTCAGCGTGCGACTCTCACCCCTGAGGTCGTAGGTTCGATCCCCGGCTGTGCACCAATGGTCTATCTTTCTATGTGCGCATTTAACATTCACTCGAACGGTGAAGGAAAACATCGTGAGGAAACCGGCTAGCCTTAGACCCAAAAAGTCAACGGCGTGCTTCAGGCACAGATGGCTACTACACCTATAAGATTACCAAATGATCATGAAACAGATACAGAAATCTGAGGCCCAGACATAAAAAGGTTGTAGCGCTATTGATTTATTCTTTTATATACAAACATGACATCAAATAAACATGTAGATAATACAATAATTAAAAATCAAACCTAAGAAGCCGACAGAAATACAAATAATTATAACAAAAGACCAAGCCACAAGATACAGGAAACGAATTTACTATTGGATATTGGAATTCTTATGCCAGATATAAAGGGTACTTAAACAGTTCATAAATCAAAAAGATATGTCCAAGAAGTGCCCTGTTTCATCGGAGGTTAAATCGCCGTGAAATATGACCGTTTAACTTATGTGAGACAATATTTTCGAAAGCGGATAGTCTATTCATGGATCAAAAATTCGTGGAAATATTTTAAGATTCAGCAGACAAACAACAATGACGAACGGAAAAAAACATCGGTTCAAAAAATATAAAAACTAAAGGAATCATAAGTGAAAAATAAGGAAAGCGATAATGGCTAAATAAAGTTATTCGTAAATATAACCGCAATTTAATAAAACATTAAACCTTCTGTACCGAATTATATATATATCTACAGTAAGTTAAAGAAAACTTACGTTTCTTTAACTACAATGACGATTAAATTAATAATATTGTAAATTTACACATCAATAATACTTTTAGAACAAAGTGTTATTAACCCGTTGCTGTAACCTCAAACTTACTGTAGATATATAATTCAGTACTGAAGGTTTGATGTTTTTTTTTTTTAAAGAACAGGGGGCAAACGGGCAGGAGGCTGATGTTAAGTGATACCGCCGCCCATGGACACTCTCAATGCCAGAGGGCTCGCGAGTGCGTTGCCGGCCTTTTAAGAATTGGTACGCTCTTTTCTTGAAGGAGTGCTAATGTTTTATTCAATTGCGGTAATATTTATAATTTACTTTTTTAGCTAGGTCTATATATCCATTATTGCTCTCCTTATTTTTCAATCAATATTCTTTTAGTTTTTATAATTTTTGAAGCGATGTTTCTTCCCCTTCGTCAATGTTATGTTTGCCTGCTTACTAGTTTGTTACATATTCATTGCACTCCCTTTGCCCCGCATACCCAATACAAGTCACCTCTTACGAAACTACGCTATATATAAGGAAAGGGACAAGAGAACCAGGAGCTTTTTGATCGGATACCTCATATCGGACCGGTCAAGTCTCAAGTAGTTAAGTTTATTATATAATATATTTATCGTGCACCTAATATCGGGCCGATTAAATAATTGTATTTAGTTAAGTTTATTATTTGTAAAAGTAATTAATTAAAGTAATATTAATATATTTTGGTTTTTTTTGGAATCCACCGCTGGCCCTCACTTAATTGGCGCAGTCGGTAGGATCGTCGAGTCAGTGCGCGTACTAAGTAATATACTCCGTAGATCGCCTACGTAGAGTACGCGAACTAATAGACTTCCAAGTTTTAATCGACGATTCACAAGAACCGAGGACAGCGGACCACACACGGCGCATCCAGAAATCGATGACAAAAGGTGCCACCATCGTCGAAATGCATATGTAAGTTACACATTTCTTAACGATTGGTTGTTACATTCCTGTGTGTTCCCAAATCATCCAAAATTTTCCATCCTAGGAAAAACCGGGGAATCGAAGCCCCAAGAGTTGCCTCTCGCATCGAGCTGAGAGATCGCAATAGACATTTAGATTATTTAGAAGATATTTTAGAAGATAAAATGGAGCGCGAAGCTTCCCTTGAGAATTTTTCAATTGCACAAGATGCATTATTAGATAGGATTTTAAGAGCTTTAAAATTTGTGCCGAACTTTGACGGAAGTGCGTGTAATTTAACTAGATTTTTGAACTTATGTGACACTTTAGTAGTCACTTATGCCAAGCCAAGTCCGGGTAATGATGTTACGAATTTAGCATTAATTAATGGAATAATTAATAAAATAACTGGCGCTGCCGCCAGAGCCCTATCAACAAATGGGGCCCCTCAAAATTGGAGTGGCATAAGAAGCACTCTAATTAATAGCTTCTCAGATCACAGAGATGAGTCTACTCTTTATACTGATTTGTCGCAATTAACTCAAGGATCAGATAGCCCACATATATTTTATGAGCGTATACAAAATTTATTGAGTACAATCATTACATATGTAGAAATTCATGATAAAATAGACACAACTATTCAGGCTAAACGTAATTTATACAATAGCCTCGCGTTAAAAACGTATCTAAAAGGTTTGGAGGAACCTCTGGGCTCACGCATACGATGTATGAGACCAGAAACATTAGAAGTGGCGTTGCAATATGCAAAAGACGAGATGAACATAATTTACTTGCAAAACAAAAATACGAAGAGACAAAATTTTACACCTCAAATATCTAGCTCGCCTACTCTAAAACCTTATAGATACGATATTAATCCACAGTATCAGAAACCTTTTAACTTGCCAAGATTAAATAATGGTCAACATTTTAATAACAATTCATATAAGCCTCACATGTACCATCAACAAGGTCCTTCAAGGACCCAACAAATGTTTAAAGCTTTGCCAAGGTCGAATATGTCTACGGGATTTAGAATTCCACCCCGTCAACCAATGCCTATGAAAAATTACCCTCAACCCATGAGTGGTATTAGTCACCCTGCTGCTCGAGTTTTACCACCTACTCAGACTGGACATGACTGGAGGATTCATGGTAATCCACCCCCTAACAATTACTTTAAAACTCGACAGATTAATAATAACGAATTAAATGACCCTTATCTCTATAGCGACTATGACTATGACAATGACGAATATCCATGTGACTTTCAACAATATGACCCTAACTACTTACCATATGACTGTTCAACAGCCGACGAATATAATATAACGGAGTTCACTGAACAACCGGAAACCATAAATTCTGAAAACAACGTGCCAGAATCTTCCAAACAGGATTTTCCAAAGGATCGAAAGATAGTTTTCCCCGAATAGAGTTAAGTATACAAAATCAAAGACAATTACCATTTATTCAAGTTCTAGTTCACCCAGATCTCCCACCATTAAAATTTCTAATTGATACAGGTGCGAATCAATCTTTTATAAGACCCGAAGCTATAGATACTTACTTTCCAAATTTTCCTTTAAACTTCGAACCATTTATTGTTTCAAACGTGCATGCTACTACCAAGAATGATTATACAATATATATACCGTGTTTCAAAGAATTCAAAGACAATGCATGGATAAAATTATTCGTGTATAAATTCCATAATTATTTCGATGGACTAATTGGTTGTGATCTTCTTCAAAAATGGTCGGCAAAAATTGATTTAGAATCTAGAAAATTAATTACGAAGTTTGCATCTAACCCCCTTCATATGTACATGTCCGATAGTGTGAATTTATGCGAAGCTATAATTCCAGCTAATTCTTCGAAATTAATACGTGTGCCTACTTCTATATCCAACGGTGATATATGTATTCAAGATCAAAAAGTCGGGAAATGTTACATAAACGAATGCATAACCACGGCAAATAATCATCACGCAATTTTAGAAATCTCTAATCCCACCAACAGTGATATTATAATTTCTTTAACGGAACCCATTAAAGCTCATATATTTAATGAACAAGTGTCATATGATACTTTCAATAACAATGCCCGAGCTCGCGACGTCTTATCGCGTTTGCGCATAGATCATTTAAACGCAGAGGAGACAGCTAATATAAAAAGTATTTGTAGACAGTATTCAGACATTTTTCATCTTGAACACGAACCTTTGACATTTACTAATAAAATCAAACACTGTATTAATACGACCGATGAATTGCCTGTTCATAGTAAAACCTATAGATATCCATATATACATCGTGACGAGGTTCAAAATCAAATAAAAAACATGTTAGATCAAGGTATAATTAGACCTTCTACCTCCGCTTGGAGTGCTCCTATATGGATAGTGCCAAAGAAAAGTGACGCATCTGGAAAAGTTAAGTGGCGATTAGTCATTGACTTTCGGAAGTTAAATGATAAAACGATTGACGACAAGTATCCGATTCCAAATATTACAGACATTCTAGATAAATTAGGTAAATGCCAATATTTCTGTACATTAGATTTGGCTAGTGGCTTCCATCAAGTGGAGATGTCATCCAAAGACATTCACAAAACTGCATTTAGCGTAGAGCATGGTCATTACGAATTCCTTCGAATGCCCATGGGCCTAAAAAATTCTCCATCTACTTTTCAACGTGTTATGGACAATGTTCTTCAAGGTCTAGTTAACAAAATATGTGTAATTTATCTCGATGACATTTTAGTGTTTGGTACCTCCCTTCAGGAAATGATGACTAATCTTAAAGAAGTATTTCAACGCTTAAGAGATTCTAACTTTAAAATCCAAATGGATAAATCCGAATTCCTTAAACGAGAAACCCCTTATTTAGGTCATATAATTACGACCGAAGGTGTTAAACCTAACCCAGATAAGATCAAGGCCATAGCAAATTATCCCATACCAAAAACAACAAAGCAAATTAAAGGTTTTTTAGGACTATTAGGTTACTATAGAAAATTTATTTCTGATTTCGCAAAAATCACTAAACCTCTTACATCATGTCTAAAAAAAGGCGGTACTATTACCTTATCTCCGGAATATATCAAATGTTTCGAACACTGCAAAACTTTATTAATGAATGATCCTATCCTACAGTACCCCGATTTTACAAAAGATTTCATACTAACGACAGACGCATCAAATATCGCATTAGGAGCCGTTTTATCCCAAGGTTCAATAGGTAGCGATAGACCCATAGCATACGCATCCAGGACTCTAAATACTAGTGAACAAAATTATTCAACAATAGAGAAAGAGTTATTAGCCATAGTTTGGGCTACTAAGTATTTCAGGCCATACCTTTTTGGGCGTAAGTTTCGAATTGTCACCGACCATAAGCCTTTGCAATGGCTTATGAATTTAAAGGAGCCAAATTCCCGTTTAACAAGGTGGAAACTAAAACTCGCAGAGTACGATTTTACTGTAATATATAAAAAGGGTAAGTGTAATACGAACGCTGACGCGCTATCGCGTATTGAAATACATAATGACGAAGCTATGTCCCTAATAGTTAATACGTCACGGGACCCGCGTCGTCATAGTACCTCATCGACACTTACAGCAGCCTCACAGAATAGCAAATCTTCCTCATCCACTCTGACAGCACCTGAAACACGCGAATTCCAATCACCACAAAGTTCGTCGCATACGGAAACCGCTCATACTAGCTCTGAAAATCCCATTCTTGAGATTCCTATTAGCGATGACCCTTTAAATAAATTCCGCAGACAGATATTAATTAATATAGTTAATCACTTACCTAGAGTGAAGCCCGTCATTAGTAAACCATTCGAAAAATTCTCTCTCATTTCAGTTCAAGTTCATGTAGACAACCTAGAACAAGGAACTATCGACCTCATTAAAAAATATGTTGATCCAAATATCCGTACAGCAATTTTAGTCCAGCCAATAGATAGAATGCTTCATATTGTTCCTATTATTCAAAGAACTTTTAGAAGTTCCTCTATGAAAATATTACTCGTCAAACGGCAGACTGAGAACGTATCAGATTATCTAAACCAACAGGATACTATTAGGAAATATCACGAAGGTAAAACCAACCACCGTGGTATCAATGAGACATATAACTCTTTGTCACAACGTTATTTTTGGCCTAATATGAAATCAGATATAACAGAATATATAAATCGATGTTCAGTATGTAATTGTGCGAAATACGATCGCAACCCAATACAGCAACAGTTTAAAATTGTACCTCCGCCATCAAAACCCTTTGACATGCTACATGTAGATGTATTAACTATAGAACAAGAAAAATATTTAACTTTAATAGACGCATTTTCCAGATATGCTCAGGCGTATCGTATAAGCGACTGTACAGCCCCTAATATCGTAAAATCATTGCTAACGTTCATCACCCATCACGGTTCACCGATGTCCTTGACTACTGACCAAGGAACCGAGTTTACGAATCAAGTTGTAACTGAATTTTTACGTCTTCACAAAATACACCATCATAAGATCGCTGCACACACCCCAAATGAAAACGGCATGATAGAACGTTTCCATAGTACTCTCTTAGAACATCTCCGAATATTAAAATTAAAACATAAAAATGAATCTGCCTCCAATTTAGTACCTTACGCAATTTTAGCATATAATAGTTCCATACATAGTTTAACTAAATGTAGACCCTATGACTTAATCACTGGACATTACGACCCAAGAGACCCCACTGATTTAAATTTATCCGAACGTTTATTACAACAATATATGCAAAACCATCATAGTAAAATGGATACAGTATATCGACTTATACATGACTCATCGTTCGCCGAACGCGAAGCGATTATGACGCAACGAAATACTCACAGAGAACCCGAAGTACAGTATGAACCCGACCAAGAGATATATGTACGAAATCCGATGGCAGCTAGACAAAAGCTAGCCACGCGCTATACACAAGATAAAGTCATAGCTAACTTACCTATACATATATATACTTCACGCAGACGCGGACCGGTAGCAAAATCTAGATTAAAACGACAAAAGACACATAAAGATTCTACTTTGTTACAGGTACCTAATCCTGACTCTGACAACCCTAGCCCAAGCGCAAGAAATTCGACTTGACAGCCTTGACAATGGACCTGGCTTATTTCCCTTTAAATTAGGAGATACTAAAATCATTTCTCACCATCATGTTTTCCTGAAAGATATTAACATAGACCTAATAGAACAACAAGTACTTGACTTGCAGACAAAATTGACTGAAACTATTCATAGACTACCGAACGGTTACTCATTACGTTTCAAGAGCCAAACCGACTATATTAATAATAAATTAAATAAAGTTATGTATGTTACAGTTAAAATCATTCGAACCCGACTCCAGGGTTAAACGAGGCATCATTAATCCATTGGGTACTCTTATAAAGTTTATTTCTGGGAATCTCGATCATAATGACGCTCTGAGATATGAGACAGCTATTCATATTTTAAAATCGAATAATAAAGAATTAAGTTCTAGTTTTAATCAACATATTTCACTTTTTAAAGAATATAGCATACAACAAACTCAAGTATTGAATAATTTAACAGATAATCAAATAAAATTAAGTAAAGCCAAAAAAAAAAAAAAAAAAAAAAAAAAAAGGGAAAAAAAAAAAAAAAAAAAAAAAAAAAGGGGTGGGAAAAAAAAAAATTTTTTCTTTAAAAACAAAAATTGGTGGCCCAAGAATTTGGAAAAAAAGGTTTAAAATTTTTAGTTATTGTTATTATTTTTTATTATTATTCTATGTATCTATATATTTTTTTATATAACATGTGTTACTGCACTTCTCGCACGAATCAATTTTTTTTAGTTTTTCTTTAACTATGAAGAGTCGCTTATTAGCGATAGGGGGGGCCCCCCCCACCACCAAAAAAATTTTTTTTTGTATTGTGTTTGTTTTTGTTTTTGCAAAAAAGGGGTTAAAAAAAAAAAAAAAAAAAAAAAAATTGGTATTTCCGCCTGTCGCTAATATTCAACATTATTAGCGATAACGTGCAGGAATTATATAATGAGATAATTAGAATAGAAAATATATTAGCTTTTAGTCGCACTATGTCTTTGCACCATTCTATATTAAATATTAATGATTTAAAAATAATGTTAAGAAAATTAAAAAATCTGTATGGCACAGATCAAATTTTAGATTTGGAGATAAGAAACTTTTATGATATAATTAGCTTAGGTTCATATTATATAGACAGGAAAATAGTGGTTGTCCTTAGCTTTCCTATTACCTTACCTTCAATATTCCAACTTTATCGATTGTGTCCTGTACCTAATATACATTCTCAAGTAATTATCCCGTCCTATCCATATGTAGCAACTAATACTAAAGAATTTGTGTACATAGAGACAGAATGTCCGAAGATCAACAGGTGGCACATATGCGAGCAAAAACTACGTCATCAAATGAAGACCAAAAAGGACTGCATCTACGAAATTATTCATTCTCAAGAAATAGACAAATCATGTTCCTCAACGCCTATTACTATGTATAAAGAAGCTCTTACGGAACTAGACAGTCAGCATTATATAATATCATTCCCGAAACCTACAAAAGTTCAACTCGTCTGTTCCCACGAAAAATATGAAATACTTCACGGCAGCTATTTCGCAACAATACCTAAATCATGTATGTTAAAATCCTCAGAAATTACGGCCACCAACATCGACGACCGAGTTAAAGGAAGCGGTGTCGAAATCATTAATTTTCCTCGAATGGACAACATCATTCAACAAAATCAACCAGGTGTCCAACTTAATTCAATCGATCTCACGAAGTTACACAATATGCAAAATGGAATTACAATGAAAGCACCGGCGGAAACATATGATTCATCAAACATAATATACCACACAACGATTCCTTTGTACTTCGCTATGACCACACTCCTGGGCGCAGCTGTACTTTTCTTCGTACTCCGATATCGCCGAAATACATCTTCGAAGCCGATTTCAAAAACGGATAATAAGAACATGTCTGCGCAAGAACTTCGAGCCGCAACTTTTGCTATAGACATCAATAGCAAATAGTTGCTCATCTTACGGGGGAGATGTTACATATTCATTGCACTCCCTTTGCCCCGCATACCCAATACAAGTCACCTCTTACGAAACTACGCTATATATAAGGAAAGGGACAAGAGAACCAGGAGCTTTTTGATCGGATACCTCATATCGGACCGGTCAAGTCTCAAGTAGTTAAGTTTATTATATAATATATTTATCGTGCACCTAATATCGGGCCGATTAAATAATTGTATTTAGTTAAGTTTATTATTTGTAAAAGTAATTAATTAAAGTAATATTAATATATTTTGGTTTTTTTTGGAATCCACCGCTGGCCCTCACTTAATTAGTTAGATGTGTGTATAAGTACTTGTCACAATGTATCAGTGTAACGAGCGTTGGAAAGCTTTTGTAAATAAAATAATAATAATCATTTTCTTTTACTGGGAAAGCTTTAAATTACCACACGCATCTAATTACTATCTATACCTTTTAAGTAAATAATGGAAAGTTGACATTAACTCATGACTCTATATACATAAATTTGTTTTGATAAACGCATAAGCGGCTTAAATGTGACAAATTGGTACTTAAGAATGTTCGATAGCTGCAGCACTGCAGCTTTTTAGTTGCCGCATAAACAAATTCCTATTATGTAGACATTCAAAGTGAATTGGTTTTATTGTCCGACAGGACTCAACGTTGACTTTTAATTAAAGCCCCTTCCGAATTCTCCATTATGCATGAGTTTTAAACAAGCCCTTCGACATACTTAGTTTGGCGTCAATAGTCACAATGACAAAAGAAACGTCAAATAAAAACAATGTAAGTCAAGAAACAATGAAATTTGTGAAAGTTACGATATTCTTAATTGTACAAATACAATTACGAATAAAAACAAACGATTGGGGTTCATTTTAGAATTAAACTTAATTAGTAGGAATAAACATTATGCCAATTGTGAAAAAACATTTGTGCTTACTTAAAATGAAAGGGGCACAGACACTTCTCAGTATATTTCATTAACAATCTCTCTATAGGAAGATGAGGATGATTCTGATACAAAACAGGGCCGTCAGATTTTCTTTTACTTTTATTTCGCTATGGGCTACGGTATTTTTTACTGTTTCGTTTCGTTCTCGATAAGAAAACAAAAAGCACCATATTAAGGAGTCTCAGTTAATTACTTTCACACAATAACTCTTTTAAAATCTGTTATTGACATCTGTCAAATACCGCCTAAGTGAATTTGAGCGATTGAATGAATGTTGATTGGGCTTAGCTCAGTCAATCGAACGTTAATGAACTACGATGTAATTTCAGTTCGTTAAGTTTTTATAACTTTAATTAATACACAGTCAATTTCATATAAGTATAAATAAAACGTTAACATTAAAATCGAGTCCCCGTGTCTGAGTGAGATACAGAAACGAGACGTACTAACTAAACAATATAATAATATTTATGTATGTTTTTGTTTAGTTATGAACGTGTGAATTAAATCAATACATAGTCTGGTTCCTGAAAAAGGTTTAAGTATATAATATATTTTGATTATATATCAATAGACTAAAATATAACGATTCTTGTTTGTTCCTGGGTCGCACAATGTTTGCCAAATTACACGAAATTGACACCAAAAATGCAAAATATAGCGCCTGATCGTGTTTTGTCAGTATTTTTTACATTTCAAATCTTTTTTCCGTTTTAGTTATATACTTTAACCCCACAATATGTCTAAGAGAATTTAAATCAGTGGCCTTAATTCTGTATAATTAATAATTATACGCATTTTAATTATATTAAAACATTTGAGGTGAACACAATCTAATTTATGTATCATATTGTTAATTCCATACTAAAATTTGCGATTTCATTATTCTAATGCAACAGAGCTATTCTGTATTACCAAAGTCGCATTTGCGAAAATTTTAACGCAATACTATTCCAAATTTCAATTAACTTAGAAATTTCGGTATTGTTATCTCTTCGAGGATAACACTCAGTCCTCACGAGGAAATTGAGCATTTCACTGAACGCTCTGGTGATTTTAGGCTTACTTCAAATTTAGTACGAAAGCCGGTAAGAAATTTAATCTTGAAATTATTTTTCCGTTCTAAGAACCGAATAAATCACCGACAAAGCTGCCGTTAAATTCTGTTTTACTTTTAAAAGTTGACAAAATGTACATTTTTTTCTGTAGAAATTACTTGATAATTTGTTTTATAATTAAGCAGTCACAATTCTTAACCAAGTAATAAAGTGTCCGTGGAGATCTAGTCTTATTATAAAAGGTGACCTAATGATATACGGTTACTAACTTTTATCGTTGAAAGCACAACTAACCACACAAACATACACTTACCACATATCATAAGGCGCGAGGGTGATTCCTATCGAAATATTAATTGTTTCGGTAGGAAACGTGTCTTCAAAGGGGAATACCTTGAATGAGTAGAATTTATATCCAAATAGCCTACAATGTGTACATTATACATACTTATATTGTATGAAAGATATTAACACACGTCCACAGCCTATATAGAATTATTAATACGCATACAAAGTACACATTCATTAAACCGGCTCGATATTATCAACAAAAACTTTAATATGTAATTCGATTGTGCGTAATGATGAATGCTATCAACAATCGAATGTTTAATTTACGGGAATCATTCAGTTGCGAAATCACATGAACAAATATTATTGTTCACATTTAATAATGCGGTAGGCGAGCTCATCTCGACCTAGGCAATTAGGTATTTGTTCTGAAATTCCCAGTCTAAACTCCAAACCTATTAATTGTTGGTTAAAATGCCGTGGGAATTAACTCGATAAATAACATTGTTTTATAATTAACTAGTTACGCTTGTGATTTCGCTCTCAATATACTAAAACTATTTTCGTTTCAATAATATGATATAATATGATATGATGTGATGTGATGTGATGTGATGTGATGTGATGTGATGTGATGTGATGTGATGTGATGTGATGATGATGGATGTGATGTGATGTGGTGTGGTGTGGTGTGGTGGTGTGGTGTGGTGTGGTGGTGGTGTGGTTG